AACGGTTTTAGGAGCAAACCAAATTGGAGCCTTTATAGTCATATTAAGAGCAACATTGTAATCCATATTGTGGATAATATTTGTGATGGGCAACCAACAACTATAAATATTAAATTATGCAGCAAAAAATAATTTCCTACGGCATCCTAAGAATATATGAGGAATAATAGAAAATTAAAATGACAATAATAATCAGAAAAGAGAACACCAATATTTTTAAGGTGGAAAAACTGAAAAACCCTCTTAAAGTAAAAATTCATTGGCACAGGTTGGTAAATTAAATTCCACTCAAATTAAATATATGTATAAAAGAGTTAAATTAAAAGCACAAACAAGTCCATATAACTATCAAATATATCATAGCAATAATGTTCTTAAATATGAAAAACAAAGAAAAAGACATAAAATAGAGCAACTCTAATTAATGATCCCAATGGTTGAAATAAAGAGTTCTATGCTACAAACTTATTGTCAAAATTTTAACTGGATCCAACGGTAAACAAAATGGAAATCATAATTTTATTAAGGCGACTTGATTAATATTCCAAAAACTTGTCTCTCTCTCTCTTCTCTCTTCTAAGGACAACAAAAACAAACATCTCTCTTGACCTAAAAGACCCTTCTGCACTTAGATTAAATAATAAAATAAAATGACTTGACTAGGTTAGACGTTTTAAACTCATAGTTGGGATCCCAACCCAATGCATGTCCTCTTCACAATTATGTGGAGCTGACCGCTAATCCGATCATCTCACAATAAGCTTCAAAATTCTTCCTTGGCAATGCCTTAGTTATTATATCAACACCATTGTCATCTCTATGAACTTTATTCAACTCCAACAACTTAACATCCAAAGTATCATGTATTGATGGCAAACCCCTAGACAAAGGGATCAATTGTAAGAGCAATGGTCAGATGCAAACATGATGACAATATGGGGCAGACCAGGTAGGTTGACCCACGTGCCTATAGTGAACCCATCAAAGTGGACTTTCTAGAATCAATGTCTCCAACTATATCTAATTATGAGTAACCCATTAAAGTAGTTTTGTCACCTTAAAAACAAAGCACCAAATCACTAATACTATGAAGATACCTTAAAATCCATTTCACACCATTCTAATGCTCTTTATCTAGATTTGACAAAAATTTATTAATTGTACCAAAAATATGTGCAATATTTGGTCTTGTACACATCATTGCATACTACCTACCATAGATGCCAAAGGAAATATACTCATATATGTATTTCCAAGTTCATTTAAAGGACTTTGTTTAACATTCATTTTGAAATGAGTAGCAAGAGGAAGCTCATAACGTTAACATGTTTCATTTGGAATCTCTATAACACCTTTTTGATGTAGTGTTGCTATGACAACCAAATTTTCTATTCTCTTCTATCACGTGAGATACTTATGCCAAAAATCTTTTTAGCAACTCCCAAGTTTTTCTTGGGAAAAGATTCGTCAAAGGACTTTCTTTAACTTATCAATTCTGAAAATATTTTTTCCAACAAACGTATGTCATCAACATACAACATGATAATAAAGTCAGTCATCATTAGAGAGCTTTCTAATAGAGACAGAATGATTAAAAGTAGTCCTTTTTGTAATCTTGATCACACATAAATAACTCAAACTTCTTGTACCTTTATCTTGGAGATTGCTTCTACCTGTATTGACTTTTTTTTAGCCTACACACATAATTTTTCTTGCCTTCAATAATAAAACCATGAGTTGTTACATGTAAATCTCTTCTGCCAAATCAAGAATAGAAGCTAAAATTATCACAATTCTAATGGATGACATTTTCATCACAAATGGGAAAATCCATTGAAATCAACACCATTTTTCTGTCTAAAGTCTTTTACCACTAATGTGGCCTTGTACCTTGGAGATGTAAAATTAGCCTCTTGCTTGACCTTGAAAATTCACTTGTTCTTTAAAGCCCTTTTGTCCTTAGGCAATTTCACCAAATCATAAGTATGATTATCATGCAAAGATTTATCACATCATGCATTACATCCATCTACTGTTGTTTTTCTTCACTATCCAAAGATTTTTCAAAACATTTAGATTCTCCACCATCAGTAAAGGTTACATAATCATTAGAAGAATACCTAGAAGATGATTTTATCAGCCAATTGGACCTTCTGATAAGGAATTATGGAAATTCAGGTGTATCACCAAGATCATCATCATGTCCCTCTTGATCATCGTCAATCAAAACCTCTACTTTATCTCCAACCCACTAATCATCAACATCACTATATTTCTAATCATCTTGAGCATCAATCTCAACATTATCCAAATTGAGAATAAGCAACTGCATTAGACTACCAATAGTGAGATCATTAACTTTCTCAGGTGTAATGTTTTCCACCTTGTTCATGTCTTCAATGGTTTGGTTTTCCATGAACTGCACATCACGACTTTTGACTACTTTTTTCTTAATAGGGTCACACAACCTATTTGTATTTGTTCTCCTTTTTCCTCTTAAAACAATATTTTCTGAATGTGCATTGTTACAATAATTGCACTCCACATTCTTGTATCTTGACTTGGAATTAGTCCTGTTCTTCTTTCTATCACCTTTCGGTTCTTTTTTCTGACTTCTTCCCCTATTTTCTATGTCAAGCACCTCAGAATAAGATAAAGAACCATGTGTCTTCCTTCTCATCTCTTTATTAAGAGCATCGTTTTTTCTATCTGGAAAGAAATAATGCCATTAGGGATTGAAACTGTGATTGAAACTCGAAAAATCTCCCAATACTCCAGTAGAGTATTAAAATTGATACCCATTCCTAACAATTGATCCAAGAACCCTTGAAACTCATTATATAATTTGAAATTGAAGACATCTCTTTGTATCTTAAATTCATCAAGCAATTCAACAAATTTAATTTATTATTGTATGACTTAGAAGTATACAAAGACTCAATCTTCTCCCACAAAGTTCTAGCATGTGTCTCATTAGCAATGTGATTATAAACATTGTCTTCTATATATTGTCGAATAAAATCACATACCTATTGGTGCTTAAAGTTTGATTCTTCAGTAGACTAGAATTCAACTTTTGTGTAGCAAAGACAAGAAAATTCATTTTCTTCACAAACAACAAGTATTTCATCTTGTCCTTCCACAAATGAGAATTTGTACTATTTAAACCAACCATCTTTGTATTTTCCTCCATTATTCAAAGCAAGTAAATATAAGGCCAAACCAAAGAGCTTTGATACCATTTTGAGGGAAAATAATTACAACAACAAAAAATACCAAAGTATGCCGTGAAAATAATTCTCCCAAACTTGAAAAAATCTATGAGGAGAAATAACAAAAGAAAATGACAACAATAATCACAAAAGAGAACTAATATTTTTAACGTGGAAAAACTCTCTTCATGTAAGAAGTAAAAACCCGTAAGCACAAGTCAATAAATCAAACTCATGGATCAAGTATAGGTCAAGAAAGCCAAAACAAAAGCTCAAACAAGTGAGACTAATTTCCCTAATAACAAATCTCCAATTGACGATCTTACTAGTCAAAAAGAGAATCCTATGCTACAAATTGACTATTAGAATTTTAGCCAATCCAACCGTGAACAAAGCAAGAATAATAATTTTACTTAAATAGCTTGAGAACATGTCAACAAGTTTTCTCTCTTTCAAAAATTAAAAAATAAATTTCTTTATTAAACTAAAAGGCTCCTCTCCACTTCATTTAAATAGTGAGAGAAAATAGATTTGAATAAGTTAGACTTTTTAAAGATATAATTGAGAACCCAACATAACACTGTTATATTTTGAGCAACCACTGCACTATTTTAAAAAAATATTTTTCTTCTGTCCATTAGGCACTATAGAACTCCAAATTTTTAGGCTGAACTATTGATACTAATCCTTTTTAAATAATAGAGAGTTACTTCAAACTTTGATAATAACAATCACTTGCTACTTCTGGTTAAACTTTTACAATGATAATAATTTTGTCCTTTCCTGAAAACTTTATCACCATGTAGAGATATCGATAAATGTACTATTTGAAAATTGTAAAGCAATAATATAATTGACAATGTACAAGATTCAAAATAATTTATACCTAATGCATCAAAATCAAACTTATTTTCATAATATTTAATAAACCCTCTCTTTATTAGTGTTTATCTATGAGCACTCCCACCCACAAGGAAAGCTAAAGAATAAAAAGAACATAAGAAAGGGAAATGCCAAAGTTTAAAAAAGTTCTTTTAGGAAAGATAAAAAACTCCATTTAGCGCATGTCTGTGTTTTTTATGTGTGGTTGGCTGATTCGTATTCTGCTTTTGTAGCTTCTTTTTCTTTCATGTTTATTTTAATTTTGTTTTGTTCAACTCCCATTAATACCGGCACAAAGAGGGGACAATAAAGAAACCAGGCTTGTCATTGGGCACTAAATGGACAATGATATGTTTTATCATTATCATCCTCACTTTACTAGCTTTTAAATATGTTTTTAATTAAAAATAAATTAAAATCCGTTATTATTCTAAATTTTAATATATCTTAATTTTTAAGTTTAAAAATAAATAAATACAGTTCTTTTAATCTAATAACAATATTAAACCATGTTTAAGACTAACATTTAAATTAAAACACATCAAAATAATGTAAACAATTCAAACTCATTATAAATCACTTTTTGACATGTTTAATATACTTAAATTAAAAAAATTATATTTATTTATTTTTAAAGTTTAGAAATCAAATTATATTAAAATTTAGAATAAAATGAATTTTAATTTTATATTTAAGTATATCTATTCTCAAGAAAAAGCTTCATGGTAAATAAAACGATGCGTTTCTTATCCAGAAAAAAGCCACAAAGAGGCCCGGATAAAAAGGAGGCCAGAAAACACATGCTAAAGTGAATGAATTATTCATAATTTTTATGCTATGCCAAACTTTATAGGATTCCAATTCCAATTCCCTTTTGAGGGATATATTGATCTTTCTCTAGCATCCGTTCTTCTACTTGCTCTTAGTTCTTTCAAACTTGGGCAGTGATTCTTTGAAGTCTACAATGAACGATTGGGCTCCTCCGCTCATAGCTGCAGCACTATTTTGGCTCTTGTCCCCAGGAATGATCTTTCAGTTGCCGGGGAAGAATGCACCCTTTGAGTTCATGAACATGAAGACCACTGTTGCATCCATGTTTGTGCACACTGTAATTTATGGTTTGCTGCTCATGTTGTTCTTCGTTGTTCTTACCGTTCATCTATATATTTAAGCAGCAGCAACCGTTATTGGAAGTAAACTTATGTGCTGCTTTCTCTTTCTAACTAGATTGTACACTCTGTTAGTTGCAATAGTGTTGTGTAATTATCCAATAAAGTAGTTATTTATGTCCGTAGAGCATCTCACATGATGTTCTTATAGCAACTATGCTGAAAATGGAATAGATGCAACTGGAAGTGATTGCTATGTTACTTTCATATGCTTTTCCTAACATGTTTAGAATCAATACCAATCTTTTCCTTCCTTCCTTCTCTCTTTGTATCTCTCTCATCAATATGATTCTTAATTTATCCTTTGTGTGGACTTAGATGAAATGAAATTATGTAAATTAAGGTGTGAAGAATGAAGCAAAGAGTTTGATAAGTAGGCTAAAGGAAAGAAATGATACTTGCTTGCCTGTTCCCAATTCCTAGGTTCATTTTCTTTTTCTTTTAATATTTAGAGTTTTGGTTGATAGCTGAAAAATTGCAAATTCTCAACAAAACGTTGAGTTTGCAGTAATTTTATTTCTTAAATTTCACTTTGAATTTAGTTTTTCCCAAAATGAAAATGCTTTGATATCTGATATAATTTTTTTTAAGGATGGATGAATTGAATGATTTTCTGATTTTGCTTTATTCATACTATTGAGGGTTATGTTTGATGGTGTGAAAAGAAATAATAAGAAAAATGAAATTGAATTATATTTAGAAAAGAAATATAGAGTAAAAATAAAGTTGAATTTTGAGATGTTTTTTCCTAGTTAAATCTAAAAGAAATAAAATTAAAAATACATTATTTTGAATCATATGACATGAAAAAAATTAAGAAAAATATAACTATACTACCTTGTTTTATTCTTACTCCATATCTTTGTTTGTAGACATTGTAAAAGTACTTAAACAATTATACAGAGAGAGGGAAAGAGAGAAAAGGGTTGAAAAAGTTGAAATTTAACTTTAAGTCATGAGAGGGAAAGGTGTTTCAGAGTGCAAAAACAAAGAAATAATTAGTTATTAGTTGTTTCGGGATATATGATCGAGGTCAACGGTCCAATGTTCAGCAGATAGTCTTAAGGTCCAAAGTTATCTTTCATTCCAAGTCTTCTCGTAATTGTTCGTGCAAAACTATATGGATGAAACCTGCAAGAAATACTCAAATACCAAAATTAGCTTAACGTTTGACATTTCATATATTAATGGTGCAGTAAATGCAATCACATACCTCCTTACCTCAAACTTATATTTATAGATTTTGGACCAGATTTTTGATCAACAATGACCTAATTATGATCCAATTGTTAGTAATCACACTTTATCTTTACCGATTGGTTAGACTCCTCAATCGTTAGGATAACACAAAGTCAAGGGGAAGTCTCCAGATTTTTAGAGTTCATTTTAGGAGTCCATTTTTACATTCATGTAATTAATATGTTTTATGTTTTAATAAAATTTTGTTGGTTGTTGTTTATATGTTCTGTTGTTGTTCTTATACTTATTATTTTTAGCATTTGTTGTTCATATCATGTCTTCATTTATGATATTTCTCTTTACACACAAATATTGTTTTTCGACTGTGTCCATTAACCGCATGCAAAATATAAAAGCAATAAAAGATGTAAAACACAACAAACCAAAACACACAAAACATAAAACTCAATGCAAAACCAAGTAAGATTATATATCGTTCAAATGTGTAAATGTTAAACATAAAAAAGGGGGAGATTATTAAGACAAAATCGTTTATTTGTCTAAACGCTTTCATGTTTTGAAAAATAACATTAAAACGGGATAATAATATGAAAACAACCTAGGATGAATACACAAGACTTAGAACCTACATCCCCAACATGGAAAACCTACAAAAGACTTAGAACCTGAATCCCCAAAATAGAAAACCTTAGAAAAATACTTAGGTTATTAAGAAATAGAAAAACATTTAGGTCACAAACACCCAAACACTATGCTAAATGGTTATTTTGCCTAAAGCGTCTAAGAAAGTTAAAGCTAAACGCATAAAGCTTATTATACCCATAGGGTATTCAATTTAGCTCTCGTAAACAAACCATGTCAAAGTGTTGTCTTTGACAAAACACACTAAAAGTCTAAAATATAAAATATAAAAGAAAGCATAAACAAGATAAACAATATCTAACTAAAGAAGAGACAAAGATCAAAATAAGTGTTTACTTGCCTAAACGATACCATAAGCTAAACCAATACTTGGTCCAAAGATGAAGTCTTACTCAACAATTGGTATCTTTAAAAGAAAATCTTAATAGTCAAATCAATGGTAGGAAATCAAAACGCGCTTTGTTGTTCTGAGTAAGCATTGAATGACATTAAATGCTCAACGTTCAAAAATAACAAAAGTATTGATAGGAAAAAACCTATTTGTTGCATGCACAATTTACTCTACTCTTTGTAGATAAGTTATTCTACACGCATCTACAAGCTTTAGATCAAATATCAGAAATGGACGTTAGAGACAAAAGAGATATTTAAAGAATTTTCTTCCCTTGAAGACATGCCTAAAAGGACGTACTATCTACTTCAAGCAAAGTATTGAAAAAGAATGCTTGCTTTGATAAGTTGACTTATCCAATGATTGTTGTACACGAAGAAAGAGAAAGCATGAAAATCAAGGTGAAGGATCAGTCTAACGAACATTTATTAAAGAAACCTTTAAATAGAAGAGCTTTCGAAAGAGAAATCAAGAGGATAGTCAAGAGAATAGGAAAAGAAAAGCTTACAATGAAATATATATCCTAAGAAGCGCTCAAAAGTGAAGAAACGAAAGAGCTCAAGAAAAAAATCATATATGAGCAGAAAAATAGAAGAAGAAAAAAGAGAAGAGAAGAAAAGAAATACTCTCAAGCTTCATTGTTATATTGCTTACTAATTGTAAGAGAGAAAGAGAAAGTGAAAAGAGAGAAAGAGAAAGTGAAAAGAGAGAAACACTTGCGAGTGTTTAGATTGCTTTGTATTATATTCATATCCTCTCTGCGAGAGTAATAGCCTGAACGACTTGTAAACAATTATTGATTGTAGTTCTAGAGAGAACTAAAACACTTGCAACTGAACTTATTTTGAGTTGAGAAAATCTAGGCACGGTAGTCTAGTATCAGGAGTGATGCGAATACTCAAGGAAAATCTAGGTCTAACATTTAAGCTTTCATAAGATATATTCAGAGCATGACTACGCACTATATCAGAAGGGTTGTGAAAAGAATTTTTCCATTAACATTATTCACCCCTCCCCCTCCCTTCTAGTTTTTTCAAGTACTTCACTTATATTTGTTAATTACACTTAATCTAAATTTGACCATTCTCTCTTTGTTAAGAAAACATCAATAGATTTCATAGCCCTACATGTGTATGTAGGTGACATTATTTTGGAAGGAAATTCTATGACATAAATTGATCACATAAAGGCTCTCGTACACCATCAATTTCGAATAAAAAATCTAGGAGAGCTCAAATGCTTCCTAGGCTTTGAAGTGGCTAGGTCTAAAAAGGGTATTCATCTTTGTCAAAGGAAATATGCTCCGGATATTCTTGAAGAAACCAAAATGCTAGAAAGCAAGCCATGTTCCAGTCCCTTTTGGAGCAACACTTATTCTTTGTATAAAACAAAAAACTACTTGGATAATTCCAACTCCTATCGCAGATTGATGAGGAAGTTACTTTACCTTATCAATAATAGACCTGACTTGTGTTTTATTGTCAATTTGTTGACTCTCACATTCAAATAAAGGCTTTTAGTGATTCTGATTGGGCCACTTGTCCTAACACTACAAGGTCTACTATACGTTTCTGCAGCTTCCTGGGTCCCTCTCTCATCTCATGGAAATCTAAGAAACAAAATATTGATTCTAGGTCTTCCATTGAAGTTGAGTATCGGGCTCTAGCTTCCACCGTGTCTGAGATACAATGGCTTCACTATCTTCTTCAAGATCTTCACATCCAAACTGTTGCCATAGCTGCCATTTACTGTGATGACAAATCTAAACCAAAGCTTCCCCAAAAGGACGAAGCATATTGAATTGGACTGCCATGTTGTATGAAAGAAGATCTAAGCCAATCTTCTGCATTTTCTTCCTATTCGCTTGGATGAACAACTTGCTGACATTTTCACAAAATTTCCTCACAGTGTTCACTTTCGATCTATCATCCCCAAGTTTAGATTAGTCAATATACATCGTCCAACTTAAGGGAAGGCTATCAAAGTAATTGTGTTAGTTAATATTACGCCTTAGGAACAATAATGAGTCAGATAGGGTTTGTAGTTAGTTAGGATTTAAGGATTTTACTTATTTTTCTTCTTTCCCTCTTATTTGCAGGAACCTATATAAACTAGGATTCCCCTTGTCTCTCTTGTAACATATCATAGTATCAATACACAAAATATGAGTTTTATAATGTTTACTTACCTTTTTCGATCTTCCTCTGCTTCCATGTTCTTTCATCTCGTCGCTGCCATGGATGCTTATTCTACTTCAACTTTCTCTCTTTAATACCATTTTTGATAAATACAACTTTAAGATAAAAAATAAACATAAATAATAAATATTAAAGAATTGTGCTTGAGCGAAAATGTCATAACCGCAATCCTTCAATCCTATTTAAATCTCAATTTTTTTCGCAATAATCTAAAAAAAATTCACATTATATTTAACTTAAAATAAACAATAAAATTTACACTTCACTCATAAGGAAAACACGTAATATATGAATAAATACAACTTTAAAATTAAAAATAAGTACGGTATTCATCACACAAACTCAACCATTACTACATATTTTAGTCATTTCAGTCCGATAGATATACGATTGACCCTATAATATTCTTTTTCGGTTATCCAGAAATAGGATCAAACTGAATTGGTTCAAAAAAATTAATCTAGAGCAACCCTTTTTATCCACGTGAACTCATCTTTTATCACATAGAAATTGCTTATATAATTTAGTTGATTTGTTTCTAAAAGGATATTTCTACATCCATGTATGGGCTTGGAGAAGGGTTCATCCCGATCTCCGTTCAAAATTCAAACAACAACAATGCAGTGCACTTGCGGCTCGTTCAATTTGCTTCAATTTTGTTTTATTGGTCATTTTCAATATAACAATAATGCCGATTAAACTCATAAATAATTAATTAAAGTTATATTTAATTATATATAAAGAAATAAAATTCATGTATAGAATCACTTGAGTTGTGCTTGAGCATATAGA